ATGTTATTATCATAAAGTCTGAGCTGAATTTGTCAACATGTAAAAAAATTCTGAGTTGGCATTGACACATCAAGCTATAATGGAGATTAACATGCACGTGTCGTACGTGATCTTCTACTGTTAAATTTTGCCTTATTTTCTTAAACTCGAAAACATGAAGGATAAAAAATTACATATTGTAATATGAGGGGTAAAACGCCTCAAATTCAAAAAGTTAAAGGGCAAATGGATACCTTTTGCCAAAAATTTTTGGCAGCCAACCATTTTTGGCAATGATTTTTCTTTAGGAATATCATGTCAAAATATTTTTTGATAATTAGTTATTTGCTAAAAGTTTTTGGCAATAAAATCTTCTACTATTACCGTACAAATGCCTACCAAATTCATTCGATACAATTTTTTTCATTTGCAAATTTAAAGTATTTTGTATCTTCTAGAAAAAAAAAATCAATTTGCAATAGAAATATTCTAAGTAAAACTAATAGGTTATACATTAATTGAAATAACTTTAGAGTGAGGGTTTTTAACTTATACATGTACTTATATACCTTTAAATTTTAATTAATTTTAAATATATATATATATATAAATAACTGTTAGTCATTGCCTTCCTTAGACAACCTGGTAAAAAGGGGAGTTACACAAGAAATAACATGCCCGAATTGTCATATGGCTGATGAAACCTTAATGCATCTTTTATTTTACTGCCCTCATGTGGAGCCAATATGGTTTGGTTCAACCTTGGGCCTTAATCCTAGGCAACTGAGGGTGAACTGCTTTAGTGAATGGTGGAAATACATCAATGGTACTGCTAAGCAAATGGGAATACCATCTATGGTAGAACATTGTGCTATTATATGCTGGCATATATGGAAGGCAAGAAATGAGCAATATTTCGAACATGTTGTCCTAAATCCCCACCAAATCCTTGTCCGTATTTCTGCTATGACCCAAGAATGCTCCTCTCTCTTGAATACACATTTACTGGTTTCCCCTTCCAGATCACGAGCTCAGGGCAAACAACAACAGCCATCTTGGGTCAAACCTCTTATGGGTTTCCTCAAAGTCAATGTTGACACTTCTTACTCATCCCAAACAGGATCTGCAACTTTTGCCATGGTAGCTCGCAACTTTAAAGGTGAAATATGTTTTGGCAATTCATGGCTCTCAGTAGCACTTTCACCAATTATGGCAGAGGCTGCCGCTCTATACAAAGCTGTTCAATATGTGGAAAGCCTGGGAACTAACAATGTATTTTTTGAATCAGACAATCAGGCCTTAATTGCTCACCTTTTGCAACCTGACAAACCTCTCCCATGGGAGATTAGTTTACTCATTTTGTCCATCAGACAAATCACTCACCGCCACCGAGATTTCTTGTTTTCATATGTACCAAGGAGGGGTAACAAGGTTGCTGATTGGGTGGCAAAACAATCACTTAAAGGGCAATGCCCCTTTTTTTGGGCACATAGGCCTCCCAATGTAATGCTTTCATTACTGATACAGGATGGTCTCTGTAAATAATGTACATTATTCTGAAATATTATATATAATTACCTTTTCCTCAAAAAAATAATAATAATAATAATAACTGTTAGTTGACCCCGTTTACAATTCTTGAGTTAAGATAAATTAATAATTACCAAGTATCGCTAAAAATCAACTTGCTTATCATTATATCATGTCTCTCTGACTTGCAACATAGCATGACAACGTGGTTGCCATGGTGTTCAATAGCAATGCCCACCCTACCTAGAAATCCAAGAGACAATAAACATCATATTTCGGTATGTCAAAGCGATCCAATGAGCAACTCATTATTATTATTATTATTATTATTATTATTTTATCAATTGAGCAGCTCCAATTGCAACCCGTAATGTGTTGGAATCAGCTATTAACAGTAATGTCTCAAAA